GCGTTTCAGCGCTGCAACGCAATTAAAAACTCCCAAAACCTCCCTTTTGAGATCAGCGTGGTAACCGCGCTGATACGCAACCTCCCTGGTGTGAATGGGCTCTTAAGCAAAATGGTCTGTGACAGTCCGCAATAAAGCCTACTGTGTCCAACTCCAGTTTCAACAAAATGTATCAGCTTTAGGTCCCAGTGAAGTCATCAATACCAATCTTTTAAAACAAATCCAATGGATATTGTTTTACTGAGCTGGTGGGCTCATTTTGCCCTGCAAAGTCTTGTCTTGTTGAACCATGAGAAACAGTGGGGTAGATTGCCAACTCTGGCGCACGCACAGCAGGGCAGTGGAAATCAGAGGAGGTGATATGTTTTATGAGACAGTCTACACAATTACAGGCTCTGAAAAGTGTTATTGACTTCTTTATACTATGATCTATATAGCACAGCAAGGGAGGTTGGTCACAAGCGTTCATTACTTAATAAATCTCATTCAACTGTATATTTAGCTTTAGGGCAGCTACATACATCCTTGTCCTAGTAATTTGCTGGCACACTGTAATGACTTGTTGAAGATTCTGCCACTTAGGTCTACACTAGGGGGCAATAATGTGTCTTTCAACTATTGCCCTACTTGTTATTGCATGAAGATGATTTCCACTTTCTTTTAAAACATCTCAATTTGGGGCCAGTCCTTACTTTTTACAGAGGGAAGTAACTGGCCGCATATGTTCTGCTGTTCTGTTTGTCTTTTTATCTTTGGTAGTGGCATGCATTTAACAAAAAAAAAAAAAAAAATCCCACCAGTGGACTGGACTGTATGGGGGATGTCAGATCATGCACATCTAACTACCTGTACATTCTGATATCCTTACGTTTCATTTTATCTGGTTCCTCATTCGATAAGTCTTATCAATAGCTGCAGTCATTAATTTTCTCCTAGGAAGATTTTGTTGGTTTTGATACTTAGACTTGAGAGATTAATGGGTGCTATGTTCCCGGGGGGTTGTATTTGAAGGTGCATGGATATCTAGTTTTACAATCTGAGCTATGCACTGCAAGATTATTATAGTTTTATTAGTGTATTTGAACATTTACAGCTCTCTGGGTGTGAAATGATTCATTTTTAGGACACCGCGTCTCATCACTTACACCAGATAATATATTTAGTCCAAGTTTTTTTTTTGCTGTGTAGCTTTCAAAGTCTGGGTGAGCAACATGTAGGAGATGCATACTGGCCAAAAATATCCTCACTGACTATTATTTATAAGAATTTTGTGTTTATGATTTTTACTAGGATATCTGTCTTCATTCCCCTGAAACACAGATTGTGTTGTATTTTTTAAATAATTCATGCATAACGACTGTCTCTGGCTGGTTGAATGACAGTAGGCGGAATCTGGCTGCTTGATCCATATATCTTCCAGGGATTTAGGATGAGCTACATCCTCTGTATCTAAAAACTTCAGTTTACGCCTTAATAAACTAATGGAGAGTCACATTTTCCAGCTAGACTCCACACAAAAAAGATACATTCTCATTCTGGTTTGTAATAAGCATTGCACGGTGGACTAAAAATAATACATTTCAACCTAATATGAATTAGGATTGCTAGTGGCACTGTCCAGCTCAGATATATATTTTTAGATTGTAAGCCCTTACGGGAGGGGCCCTCCTTACCATCTTGTCTTGAATTGTATTCTAATGTCTTCCTTATATTGTAAAGTGCTGTGCAAACTGTTGGTGCTATATAAATCTTGTATAATAATAATTTATCTTGAATTTTCTGTGGAACACTGCATTCTGTAGTGACCACCTTTGAGTACCCTTAGGGCCCGCGTTCACACCAGATGCAGCGTGTTCCGGCCCAATTCTGGCCAGAACACACTGCCTCGCATTGCGTCCGGCTCACTTTTTTGTGGGACAGGAGGGGGCGTGGCGGGCCCTTGAATTGAATGGGGCCGTAGCCACACCCTCCGGCTGCAATGTGATCGGCCGCATGGGATCGCAAGGCACATTATGCCTGCGGTCCGGTCTGGTGCGATCAAAATAGTGCTTGCAGCATTTTGATCAGACCGGACCACAGGCATAATGTGCCTTGCGATCCTGTGCGGCTGATCGCATTGCGGCCGGAGGGTGTGGCTACGGTGCTGTTCACTTCAATGGCCCGCCACGCCCGCTCCTGTGGGTTGGCACTGGCACGCACAGTAAACCTGTAACTTGCCTATGCAAGATAAAGCAACAGGTCCACTTTTATCATCTTATACCCTTCTCTTCTCTGTTGCTCAGCTTGGCTGCTGGAAAGCTCTGGGGGTGCGCTCTCATGTGTAAGCACGTATGCCTGACAAGCCAGTTACCAAGCACCAGCCTTCTGTGCATGTGATACTAGCTACCATCTGCTTTCTTAAAGTGATATGAGTCAAAATATTTTAAACATCACTCTTGATGTTTAAAAGTTTGTTTCCTGCAGAATCAGCTGTCTTTTGAGCAATGGCCCGGATATCCTGTTTTAGGGGGGCTCCTTTCCCTTGCAGGGTCCTATGGGAGCCACCCTTGTGTGTGCTAGTGAGCTGTGTGTATCTCCACAAGCACACAGACACAGCAGGGACACTTCCCCCCCCTGTTCCCTGCCGGGAGCCGCAGTCCGCGCAAGAAGCCGTCCACATTCCCGGCCCGCAACCCACCGTCTGCGTCACTGCCGCTACGATGTTCTAAGGTTCTCTACCCTTCTCTCAATCTTCTCTCCCCTCAGCAATTGCCGGCCTCTGGGAATCTGCCGCTCCAGGCAAACGCCTTGTTTGCCTCGCGGCAGATACGCCCCTGTAGTAGATGATCAGTTCCTGGTGACTGTGCTGTCTCTTGTGATCTAATACTGCACAGAAAGTTCTGGGAAGCTAAGCTGAGAGAGTTGGAGCCAATTGCTTGAAAACATGATGACTGTAAGTGCGTGGGCACAAATGTAAAGATATACTATGCTGGGTTATGTATGTGTAATGCTCTGAACTACAAATCCCAGAGATGTCAAGCTTATCCCAAGGATGAGCCCAGCTGTAAAGCTTGGCAAAACTTTAATTTCTATTTGTTGTCTGTTCTTGCAGTAAACTTCAAGGAAACTGACCCAGTAGCATTAAAAGTACTTGGTGAAAATGCTGCGTGTACAAACTTAGTTACAGGAAAAGCAAACAAATACATGAACAAGACAGGCTGCTACAAGCATTCACATGCACCCACTACACTATCTTCTAGTACATGTATGATTTCTAGGAGGGGAGACACTGAAAATGTACTTGGCTTAGGCTGCAGGCTCCACAAATTCCGTGACTTGGCCTAGGAAGAATGGCTTCTCGTTGCAGTATCCTTTGTATATCCTGGTCTTGAAGCAAGTCCTCTCGTCTTGTGAAGCGCCCTCGCACTGTCCCCCTCCTGTGAAGCCTTGGTCTGGTGAAGTGCTGTGCTATCTTTCAGCTACTGGCTTTTTATTGAGAGAAACTGGCCACACACTTTGGAAGCGCCGCCCCCTTTCACCTTTCTCTAAAATGCAATACAATGCATTTCACGTACCCACCTCTAGGTGGCAGCGTTGTACCATAAATTGCCATCAGTAGTCAAGATATTGATTTGAATCTTGACCAGGCTAGGTGTGACTATTTACGATCACCATCCCATTGTGATACAAATCAATACAGGACAAGCTACACCATTGTGAAAAAAACAGTTTGGTCTGTTGAGGTGGCCCCTTCCATTGTATGAACCCAGATTTCTATCAACAAACAAACAAAACCTCCGTCTCTATTGCAAATCTATGTGTGTCTGAAAAAGTCCACTAAGATATATCGCATCACAGTATGTTTGATTGATCTGGATTCAATATTGAAGAAAAGTTTGAAAGTTGAATACTAATTCAGTGTACATGTTAACCCTAACTAAATTACATTTGGTTTTCTGAAGCACTGTGTATCATAAACTATTGAGATTTATTTAAATAAATATATTTATGACTATATTGATTTTTACTAATTGTTGCATATCAGCACTACATATTTCTTGAAGCCTCACTTCCTGTCTATATACATACATCTATCTGGTGCACATAATTCCTTTACAGAGGGTTTTCTAATGGTGACACAACACTGGGACATATTGTGCTTGTGCAAAAAGCATTAGCTACCGTGTTTTACACAGCATACCGAAAATAAGACCTAGTGTCTTTTTTCATGGGAAAAAAATAAGACAGTGTCTTTATTTCGGGGAAACACGGTAGCTGCTTGAAGTCTTTTTTGAGATGTGACAGGAGGACAATGCAGGACAACAGCTGGGGGACATAGAAAAAAATGTTGATATCCTATAACAAAAAAGTGTCTGCACATGGCAGGATCGCCAGGTATTGGTTTAATGAAAACGGCAGCTTTAAAAATATTTAGAACTACTTTTAAAATCACCTGAACGTGTTAAAGCTGATATGAGATTTTATTTCTGGGCAACACCTCCCCTGTACTAATTACAAATTTGATATAAATGGGCTACCAATCTTATCTATCAGGGCTGCTCCTGGAATACCAAACGTGTTCCAGGAGCAGAGCAGTTACAGACCGGATCAAAACTGCGTCCAATGTATTCCAGTGGTATTTTGGGCTCTAGTTCACAACGCATCGTTCAGTTCCAGAGCATGTAAAAAAACTGCAGCAGGCCCTATTTTACCTGCTCTGAAACGCATGCAAATGCAAACGCACTGAAAGCCAATTTTAAACGACATATATATCAAAAATGCAGCAAACAATGCAGTATAACACACTGCACTGTGTGTGCAGAAACTCATGCAGATCTGGTCTGCATTTGGTGTGAACAAGCCCTCAAGGGCACATGGCAACCACACTAATTTTGTCTTTCATTGTATGGCTTGTTATAGAAATATAGACTGTAGCTGTTATCTACCTACTAATCGCAACAGCATTGTGTTCTTTTTCACCATTCTTCATGCATAAGCCCCATTGTTTGTTTGTTTTTTAGGGTTCTTATGATCCAACCAAACTAAAAGTGATTCATCTGAGCGTGAATCCAGCTCAGAAAGCTCAGCAGCAACGAAAAGAGGAAGTGCAGCAACTGCAGGAAGAGTGCAGCAAGCTGAGAAAACTGGTTAAGATACTGGAAGGAGGGTCACCTGTTCCTGTTAAACTGGAGGCTGCAGGAAGCATTCAGTCGTCTTCACAGGAAGTTACAGGTAAGTGACATGTCTTCATCATTCGTTGTATGATTTCTACTTCCACATACTTATCAATGTCTTCATGCTTGGATAAAACAATAGGGGTATTTATTAAAACTGGAGCAGACAGAATCTGGAGCAGTTGACCATAGTAACCAATCAGCTTCTATTTTCAGTTTGCCCAGTTAAGCTTTGAAAATGAAAGATAGGAGCTGAATGGTTGCCATGCACATCTGCTTCAGAATGTTTCTGCACCAGTTGTTTTAAATTCCCATCAACGTGTTTAAAGGATTCTGACTAAATGTACTGCTTAAAGATGGTCTGAACTTTAGCAGCTGTGGCCAAATATAACAGGTGAAGGACTAGTTGCCAGCATTGCCTGTGGTCTCCCTGCAGCTGATCTTTTCCCCATTACAGACTTACCATACATTTTTCTGCACTGTGTGTCTGTGAGGTGGTGGCCATCTTGGTAGAAGTAGGTGGTGTGCTTCCTCATTTCAGAGCCCCCAGCAAGAACAGTGAGCAGCAGTGTATGGACATGATATAATTTCATTCTAAATCTCTTGAGACTAGCAGTCAGAGGCAGCAGTGCCTTAGGAATGAGAGTGCAGATATGCAGCAATGAGGATGTGGGCTATGGGGTGCCTAGGCACACTCACATACCAGGAAGCACATTGCTATTTTTCAAGAGGAAGTCGAGACAAAAGTTTTATTTCTAGATGTCCCCTAAAACATGGCACAGATTCACTTTGTGAGCTCAGGTCCATTTTAAATGCAATTATAATCATACACACAGGATGCTGTCTTCAGAACAGAGTTATCTGTACTGTTGTATTAAAAATTCTTCTAGTCATCCTGCAGAGATACAGTCATAACAGAGTAAACATTTGTACATCTTTAAGACTGCACTGCATCCACTCATTCTTGAAAGACCAAACATGTAATGCACAAATAAACAGATTAATAATTTATGTGAATGTCCTAGTGGCATTAGTTTTACTGGGAAATAATCCATCATCTTACTTTTGGCAGCTGCTTCAGCATCTGTATTAATGATGTGAGAATGTTAGAATGTTTGCAGTACCTTGCTCCACATTTACATCAAAAAATTAGTAGGACCTGCTGAGCATTTTATAAAATGTCAAAAATAAAACAAGGACATCCGCAAGATATATGGCACAACGTAACACTAAAGAAACAACAAGTTACCTTTATTAGTAACATTTTCTAAACAGAGAAATGGACATTAAAATTAAACATATCTTAAACAAAAGCATAATTAAACACCTAAAGCTCCACTCCTGCCGTGTTTTCCATTTTGTGTGCAAGGGCTGTAACTTATGTGAACTTATTATTGCTGTCTGGGTCATCTTAGAAGAAATCTTTCCCTATCCTGGCTTTTTGGATGTTGGAGAGTACAGTGAGTACTGCAGTAAGTGAGGGCTGCCCCTACTAGTACACATGCAGCTATAAAAAATATATTTTCTTGTAGAATGAAAAAGGTTTTGGACCTCTATCAGTATGTTTATTGCAGCCCTGTGTGTACATAAGTGAGATTTATTTTCACTTTCTGTTCAAGGGATGGTGTGTTAGGAATGTGAGCAGGAAGGGGAGGGAAATCCCCTCCATTAAGACAGAGATCATTTAAAATCTGACCATCCTAAACTTTCCCTGCTCTATAAAAAAAAGGGGGGGGTTTGACTGGATTTCGCCTATAAAGCAAACCACTCATTGAATAATTGAAAAAGGTTTCTACCATTTGCACACCTAAGTATTTTTTTTTTTTTTACAAGCTCCATCCCTTGTGTCATATAGTTAGTGTAATACACGCTACTTTTAGACTGTGCTATTGGATCATGCTGTCAGCTTCATATATATAGAGCTACTTTGGATTGTATAGAGCACCAAACAAGAAAAAGAAGAGAGATGTTTTCATATATACTCAACTCTAAGGAGGCTTTGGCTCTCTCTTGCTTCTTCTGCACTGTCTTCCCCCCATAATTCCCTGGCTGAAATAAGCCACTCATGTCAATAAAAATGTATCATCTTTGAGGCTTGGTGGTGCACCCAGGAATGTGTGGTAATACACTACCTTGTATTGCGGTGCACTCCGCTAGCTAAAATAGAGCATTGATATACTAGGGGTGTGGTGCTAAAAAGTATTTCTGAGCACAAATAAGTGATTTTTGGTCTATTGTGGTGCCTCATTCAACAAAATAGGCTGACTTAATGCATGCTTTAATGGCAGTGGACTACCTTGGTGTGAATGGATCCCTTTATGAAACAATTATGCAGATCAGGAAAGTCATAGTAAAGTTAGAAGTCTCTTATGTCCCTGCTTCTTCTGGGTCAGTAACTCAAAGTATTTAAGCAAGAACCAACTTGCCGTTTAAGAAAGGCAAACTGAGCAATGGCAGTCTTCTTGTTTCTCTCATGATAGATTTCCTTTATGAAAAGCCTGAAATTTGTGCTCACAGTTGCACCACCTCTGTAAATGTATTTTTCTCCCTGGAATCAGATCTGTGTTGACGTTCCTTCCTTCTCTTCCAAAAAGACAAAAAAAAAAAAATCACATTGCTAACAATAACCATAGGCAGCCCCACTGCAAGTGTTGAGAAACGTTTTAACTGCAGTTTTTCTCTAAAATAAATCATAAAAAATAAATACTAAGATAATGATAGTGAATCCAATAGTTAACGTTTAAGCTTCATAGCTCGTCAGGCCAAATTATTCTATAAGAAAGTAAAGAATAAAGAGAGTTTGATGCCAGCATTGTTTAAAATGACAAAAAATCACTTCCACTAATGTTGACATCACAGTCTTTTTATCCATTATTATGTGATGTCCTGATTTGGTTTGGTGATGATTGGAGTTTTTACTTGATCCTTTTTATGTAGGTGAATCTTCCTGGTGCATGTGTTTTAAATTGGAGTGATTCATCTGCCCTGAATGCTTGGTGAATGTAACATTTACTGCTTTATACATATGCCCTGTGGTATTGTTTATAATTTGTGCTTATTTAAATGTATTGTTAAATGATTACTATTGGTTTCGAGAGCTAATATTTGGAGTGGCTTGCACCCAGGTTTGACTCCAGGGGGGTGATTTACTAACCTAAACACACACACACACCAGGTGTGTGTGATTTTCACACAGCAAAACGTATTTATCAACCAAAAAGTCTCTAAAAGCATATTTCCACTAATGCCATATATGGAAAAATCATGCACATGATGCATATATAATGCTGCTTCACAGTTTAGACAAAAATGGTTAGCTCATGCATTTACATTCCTTGCATTCATCAACGCAAGCAACAGGAATTCCTTCAGGGCTTTGCACAACACACCTGCTGGGTGTGTACACATTACAAAGGTGTTTAGATTCCACCCATAGATCATGCTGGGAGGGAACACACTGCAGAGGTGTATACACGCTCGTGGTGTGTTTATAAGGTTAGTAAATCAACCCCCAGGTGTCAGCATGATTTGTCATGCTGACAAATCATAATTTGTCAACATAATATTTTAATTATTTTCATATTTAGGTGACCCAGACAAAAATTAGCCAAAAAGCTCTCCCTGCTAAAGGAGATGGTAAATACTTTCTTCTCCTGCTGCCCGCACCAATAAATGCTGATCCTTTGAAAGGGATATCTTGCTCTTAAGTATGCAGAGAAACCTGGTCCCCGCTACTTTTAAGTGAATCATCTCACCAACCTGCATGCCACTAGTGTGTCATGAGTTCCATGGGAGAAACCACTGAGCACATCAGGGAACCAGGAGATCGGCACTCCTTGAAGTGTTGGTTTCTCAGCAGCAGAGTGTGTTTGGTTGGGTGCACAGCAGGCGAGGTGAGTATCTACTCTCTTCTTCTGCAGTGAAAGCTTCCTTTTAGGTAATGCAAAATCTGAAAATGTTACTTTTTGCATGACATGGATATGTTGTTATGGAAACTGTATGTATCTGCTGAGCTTTCCTTGCAAGTAGAACAATAGTGCCTTGGGGCACATACATGCAGGTGGATAAGTGAGCAGTAGATGGCCTCCATTCACTTCTACTTTAAAGGATGCAGTGCAGGCTAGCACCACAGAATTGATTAATCAATGCAGGCTGCTTATGGTAACCCAAGAGAGAAATTGTAAACTTCCACACTGGAAAGGTGTCAAATATGCATCCTTTTTGACACATTTATTGGCCTGTGTTTATGTGTCTTAGATGATGGTTTTTCAGTGTACCGTAAGTGTTGCAGTTCATGGACTTAGATTTTACCTTGCTTCTGGCGTGAGAAACATGTTTATTAATGCCCTGTGACATTGTCATCTGCCTGTGAGAGGATCCTCCTATCTTGGGTCGCTAGGGAGAGAGATTTGCAGGGTGCCTTATTTCCCAAAAGCCCTCAGCTTTTACACACATGGTGTCTGGGTATGCACATGGCATTCTAACTGCAGAGAGCAGTTTGTGCTAAGAACTCTCATTATTATTCCGATGTATCTGCTTGGCAGAATGTATGGTCTTCTAGGTAGAGAGAGTGGACAGCTGTGTGGGTAGCGACAGGTGAACTTGAGAACTTCCTTGTCATTGCTCTGGTGTAACAACTGAAAACGTCTTTATGAGCTGGATTAGAGAAACATGAATGGCTGTGTGAACAGTGAGGGGAGGGAAGAGATCACCTGACATTGCTCTCTAGGTGCATGAAAACATCACTGTGGAGTGGGTTATGGGTGGCTGTGTGGGTGATACTGCACAATGAAATATAAAGTTAGACAAAAAAAAAGAAATGGGCAATGATTTAACTAAATCTAAAGACACCACAGCTATTAAATGTTGCCTACTGATAGAGAGAGACACTAGCAATTTAGGCCATGACAGGGGAGCAGGGAACTCCTCTGCCGTCGGTCTCATGTAGTAAAGGAATCACGGCCGCGCCAGCAAAACGGCAGGAAAATGTCACTTTCGGCATTTAGCCGAAAGTGCCATTTTTGGCCGGCGCCCCCCCTTCACTTTTCGCCCGGGGCC